TGCGATCTGATCAAGCCTAAATTAAGCGTTGGATCATAAAAACCACCGATTTGAAGGTTGTTTTCTTTGGAGGTAGAAGGAACCTTGTGAGAAGCTTCTGGAAGGAATGTTTGAGTAAAAAAATACGATGCAGTTCTATGAAACAACAAGGACACATTGCAAAAACTGATTTAAAAAAGGTTCAAATATTTTAAAATCATTAAATTTAGGCAGGTTAACAACATTATCTGTGACAGAATTACCGGAGATTTGTTTCCCTTAAAATGAGATAATTCGATATCATGCTCTTTAAATAAGTTATGTTAGTTATGTTTTTTTTTTCTTGTTTTAAATGTAAACATCTTAAATCACAGGCAAATTGCCTAAAACAGCTAAAAAAGCTAGGATACACTTAGTTTCACAAAAATGTTCTTACTTATATTTCAGATTGTGCAGATATGCTTCTTTAGAAAAAAGAAATGTGTCATTTATTTTCCAGCAACGGGAATTAACCTTGATAAAGGTGACTGAACATCAGACAGGAATAAATGAACTCTAAAGTGTCTTTTTATAAACGCATGTAAACATTTGTTTGTTGTAAGGCTTTATGGATGTGAACTTAGTGACTTTAGTAGAAGAAGAAACTTAGAAGCAGTTATTATTCACCCTTCTGGGAGGAACTATGTGAGAGGAAGTTTGGACAGTGAAGGCCCCCGGGGGCCCATAGATGTTCTAAACAGATGGCCCCAATTTAAATACAGCAGAGTTCAGGTTGAGCACTGCAACATAAAAACTAGCTAAACCGAATGTGTGCCACAGTCATATCATTTTATTTATAATTTTATCTGACTGTTCTGCAGAATGCTAACCAGCTCGGCGCTGAAGGACTATGAGCCATTTAGCGTCTAACGAACTACAGCTGAAGAGTTGTGTCCCCCGGGGGCCGCTGTGCAGAAAGATCTGCAGATTTGAGAGGAAAAGCGAGGAAAAAGAGGAAGAAGTGGAGGAAGAGAGGAGAGCGACTCCTCACGTCCCAACTTGCACCTCTCACTGCTGACACATCACTTTCCATCCTTCTCCTTGTTATTTAGTCTCTCCGGCTCCTCCTCCCATTATCTCTCGTCTCTGTCTGACTTTTTCTTTGTCCTTCCTCCTCCTCCCGTATCTGTTTCACTGTCCTCTATCTCCCTTCACTTTGCTAAATCCTTCATGTACTATTTTCATCCTTTGCTTTGCCTTTCATCTCATTTTTTCTTTTTTTTCCACCTCAGCAGCAGCTGTGTTGAGGTCAAATGAGGTAACAGCTCACATCACTACGCCTCATGCTTCCCTTTCTCAGTTTGAACATTTGCAGCATCTTGTCTAAAATGCGTGTGGTTTATATAGAGAGAAATGTGGTCCAGTATTATTGAAAGCAAAGAAAACGTTTCAAAAAAGGACATTTGAAGAAAGTGTGTTTCAAAAATGGAACTTTTAAAAACAAAAACAAAAATTACGATCTGTATCCAAAATTTTTACCAATACTTTTAGTTTTTCTCTCCATTTTTTATCTTTTATTTTTTTACAGAGTTTTTTTTTAAGTCTTTGGTGAAAATGTTGCTTCTTTATTGCTGTGAGCAAAGCACACATTTTATATCTTATCTGTCTTTTCTGTGTTTTTTCAAAATGTTTCTTTTTTTCTCTTTTTTTATTACAATGGTTCAATTTCATTTTTGTAAAACTCAATTTGAATAGCAGAAATAATGAAAAAAAGAAAATATAACATCTGTAAACACTACATAAAAGAAAGAAAGAAAAAGTGAAAAAACAGAAATGTTACTCTTAAAACTTTTTTTGGTTACTTTGTTTTTCAAAGTTTTGTTTATTGATTGATTGACTTTTTTGATTGACTTTATTGACCTCATCTTATTACTGCCACTATAATGGAACAAGATTCACAACTTAGAGGTGCGGTTTTATGAGTCTACATTTACTGAAATATTTCAAAAGAAATAAAATTTGGAAAATGAAATCTGAAAAACTAAAGCTATTGGCTGAACTTCTGCATACCTAGAAATAATTCTTAAATCTTTTTTGATAAAGAAGTTAAAAAAAAAAAAAAAGCATTTTTCCACAAATATACTTCTTTGAAATAAGTCCCTAGTTTTTAATAACATTGAAACAAATTTACCTCCTGATTTATTTTTATTGTTTAAATGCAGCTTTTTTTGGCACCCCATATCTTTGACTTATCCACTGGAACAACGGCATGTCTGATTAGATAACCACAGACACATAATCCGGTTTTATGTCTCTGCGATGATAATGTGTAAATATCATTGAATCAGAGGACAATTTGATTGTGAATTACTGCACATCCTCCATTGGTCATGAGATCAAGCAAAGGGCTGGACAGCAGGCTGGCAAGAGACGCATTTTTCTCCCCTCCTCACCATCGCCGGGCTCTTCAGTGTGCTTTGCATTCAAACATTCATCTAAATGAGTTAGGCCAAGGCCTCAGGCAGCAGGCGCGACATGAAAAGCACATTATGACTGAGGCTGGAATTTCTCCCAAGCTAAATATAACAAGAGCAGCTCCCTTCTGAATTGTTTCCTTTTCATTATGCTTGTCTAAAGCAGGTCACACTGGCTAAATAAAAAGCTTCTGTTTGGTAATTTTCAGGTTAATTTGGGGGAAAAACACGCAGTTGGTCTCACTACAGAGCCTCTCCCAAAAAAAAAACCCAACAACAACCCCCTTTAGTTTCACATCATTACTGTGAAGGAAAAGGCCTGGCCAGGATTGCATAAGAAGGGTTTTCTTTGCAGGCCGTAGATTGGAGTCGGGGGTGTCGGGGTTAAACTCAACAGTTACTCACAGGCAAACAATGAATAAAATAAATAATTTTATTAGTTGATGTGATAACGAGCAGTTAAAGTCTGCATAAGATTTAACCACAGCTCACACAAAGGCAGCAGGAACTAATAACCTCACATTAAAGAGGTTATATAACAGAAAGCTTAGACCAAAGCTGAGTCCTCCTGCTCGGCTCGCAGGAGGACACAGGAACACCCTTCAGTTAAAGCATGATGGGATGAGGCCCATCATGCTTTAACTGAGGGGTGTTCCAAGTATTTGCTCGTGCAAACATTTTATTTGGGCGTGTTGTAGGTGATCCAGAAAGATTGCTTGTGCAAATGGTTAGAGGCTTAAAACTGTTTGGCTTCACCTAACTACCGAAATGCAGTTATATAAGTATAGGCAATGATGACAATAATTACAGAAATAATTATAATGAAGATAAATCACTGTATTACTTCCTTTCAGAAAATCCATTAAATAGAAATTGAACACAGGCAACTTTATAATAACATTATTAATTATATAGAATTTCATTATATGTAGAACTCAGTGCTTATGTCTGAAAAAGGTATGAAGAAGTTAAACTTATTTGATCTTACCTCTTCTCTTCGCTATAGTTCTGAACATTAAGTTTTACAGATTGCTTTTGCACAACTTCAGTCAATCCTAACCTTTGCTACCTCTTGAAGCTCATTAAGAGAATGCAAAGAATTTGCAAAGCAGTAATCAAAGCAAAAGGTGGCTAATTTGAAGAACCTAGAATATAAGACATATGTTCAGTTGTTTCACGCTTTTTTGTTAAGTATATAACTCCACATGTGTTAATTCATAGGTTTGATGCCAATTTTCCTAGTCATGAAAATAAAGAAAACTTTGAATGAGAAGGTGTGTCCAATATATATATATATATATATATATATATATATATATATATATATATATATATATATATATATAGATATATATAGATATAGATATATAGATATATATAGAGCTAGATTTTTAGAATGCAATTAACATGCATTTTCAGACATATCCAGGTATTGACTCACCTGCTATGGCAAGTGGCCATGCAGGAAAGACAATTCATTCATCAACTGCATCAGGACTCTGGACACCTGACTTACAGCTCAGCAGGCTGTATTTTTCCTGAGCCGCCCAGCATCCCTGACGGTGTACATGAAGCTGCAGGTTGCATATCTCATGGCCATACATACAGTCAGTGTTACCATGAGGGCCGCACTGCTGCAAGTCGAATGGATGATCTTAAAAATGCCAGCCGAGCAGTGAGAACTTATATTATATATAGGTAATTGTCATCAAAGGATCTTCTCTCAATTTGACCTCTGATTTTTATTTTATTCTTTTTGCTTAGCTTCGTATAACAATTATACTTCAAACTACTGAATTGTGGCGGTGTATGAGGATAAAAAAAAAAAAGAATAGTCAAAGGTTGGTAAGTCAAAAAGAAGGAAATATAAAAATAAAAAAATAAATTGAAATCAAGGTTCTGGATTCGATTCCCGGCCCGGGGTCTTTCTGCATGGAGTTTGGATGTTCTCCGTGAGCATGTGTGGGATCTCTCCGGGTACTCCAGCTTCCTCCCACAGTCCAAAAACATGACTGTTAGGTTAATTGACTTGTCTAAATTCTCCTTAGGTGTTAGTGTGTGTCTGAATGGTTGATTGTCTCTGTGTTGCCCTGCGATGGACTGGCGACCTGTCCAGGGTAGACCCCGCCTCTCGCCCATTGACTGCTGGAGATAGGAACCAGCACCCCTCGCGACCCCACTTGGGACAAGCGTGTCAGATAATGAAGGGATGGATGAAATTGAAATTAAATTTGTCAGGGAAATATTTTGTTTTAACAGCTTCTTGGTTTTCAGGTTCTTTTATTTTGGTTTTCTCTTATTTTAATTATTTTTCCTCTGAATTAAAAAGCTTCTTCAAAGAAAGGGCGCATCATTTTTTCCCTAAAAGCTGATTGGCTGCTGGGTGGAGCGTGTTTAAGATTCAAAGCAAACCTGAAAGCTAGCCTGAAATGCAGCAAGTTTGCTAGGTCAGAGTGCGTTACCATGGTAACCAGTCGTGCTAAGAATGAATCCAGCTTGGTGGTACCAATCCTGCTTCCTGGTACAGGCCTCCAGTGAGGCCCAGCCTAAGAATGAGCACAGGTTTACCTTCAACGGCTCTTTTGAAGAAGACCTTGCAGCTTCCACACGTCACCACGCCGTAGTGACACCCGGACGCTTCGTCTCCGCAGACCAGGCACACTTTGGCTGTGGAGGAAGGTTGCCTGAGAGCTGAGCTGAAAGGCAACACAGAGAAAAACAAAGATAAATTCAGTAGGTGCATAAATCTAAAAAAGGATTTATTAAAGTCATCAAACAATCCTGGAAAGGAATGCTGCCTTCTGAGCTGATGCACATGGTGAAATGAATTTTTACAGTTGAAGTGACAGCAGCAGCACAGTGTGGTGGGTCATAAAGATGTCTTCCAACAGACAGAGAGCGGCTCTGAGATCTCCTGATTTATAGCTCCGCTGGGCTTACAGAGACGACTCTGACAGAATTATAGAGAGGATTATTTAAATTCAATAAGCAGAGAGACGCAGAACAGGATGTCAAACACAAACGGAAAAACGTCTCCCCTTTTTTCAGAATAAATCCTGTGAATTACTGGAAAAAGTGTTGAAAAAAATGACAAAAAAAACAAATCCTTTGCAGAGCAAACAGCATTATGGATTAAACTTCTGATATATATATTTCTATGAATGGTAAAGGCGAGTGAACTGATGAAAGATCCAAAAGATCCAAAGCATAAAAACATTTGTTCCTCTTTACTATTGACCTTTCGGCTGATATAGCATCAAGTAGGGAAAGTAAGGAACGATTCCCTCAAACAAGGGCGTCCTTTGATGGTAATCAGTGTCTAACTATAATCTACTGTAAAATGTGGTATTTATGGAAGCCTTTTATAGATTTTGGTAAAAGGAAAAGGAATGTATGTAAAAGAAGAAAAGATGACTGGCGTTGAAGAGCTTGCAATGCTGCCGTCACACAGCACCTCCCTCCGTTCCTCCACCCGTCCGTCCATCCATCAATCACCTTCCCTCCCTCCAAAGTTCAGCCTCAGAAGGTAGCAACCAGGGAAAGCTTTGCTGTATCATTTTCAGATGTAAAAGTTTCAAGGTAACTTTGTGGATGCAGTAATGAACTATGATCACAGCAAATATTCTTCAAAAGTTTTCCTGAAAGCAAGCGGTGATTTACACAAAAAAGAGGAGTGGATTTTTTTAAAGTAGCACTGCCTGAAGGTAGGAAACCTCTACAAACCACTGGTGATTTAAAGCTTCTTCCTCTGCATACAGAGGCTTCTCTGGAAGCTCAAACTATTTTAATGGTACAATCCTAATATGTTTAGAGTTTTAACTTAAAGATAATGTATATTTTTTGTGCTTGTATCCATAAAAGCCATATTTTATAATGATGGATGTGCTTAAAAGAAGCAGCAGATGAAGAGAGAGACATCTCTCTCTTACAACACCCCCTACCCCATACAGTACAAGGTGCTCCCAATGTGTCTGAAGAAGAGATATCGTGTCTGGTAAAGCTTTGGTTCTGCCTTGTGGAAACCTCCCAGAGGACATGGCTGGTGGACCTTCACAGGAGGACATCTCATATCCTGGTCAGATCCGTGAACCTCCTGAACTGGAGGGAAGCACTCGCCTAGGTCTGTCCAAGATATAAGAGCTAAAATGAGATTTCTCTGCAGGTTGGCAGGAGAGTAGAGCCGCTGCTCGTCTGCATCGAAAGGAGTCAGCTGTTGACTCGGACATCTTTTTCGGATGCCCCCTGGTTGCCTCCCTCAGGAGGTGGGAGCATTTAACAGCTTCAGTTGGTGTGGCTGGCCAGGCTAGGGGAGCACTGGACCTAAGTGGCCCCTACAGAGTCAGGTCATGGTCATCCCCTTTTACTACTATCTACCTTCATTGGTTCATGATTCATTTAATCTAAAATCATACTAGAGGGTCAAAATGTAGACAGACTGGTTAATCAAGTCCTTCCTTTTTTGTATAAGCTCTTTCCTCACTCTGATAGAGTTAGACAATCAGTGCTAATGAAAGGAGAAGGCTATGTTGCAGCCTTTCTGGATCCAAGTATTCTAACTTTCAGGAAGCTCAGCTGGTAAAGTCCAACCCTCTACAACGCAAGTCAATGAAGATCAATTGAGAGTGGCCGAGGCTGGGGTGGGGGTTAGAAAAAGCTCCAAATGGATGTTATTTGGATAGGTTGCAACCCCCTGGGGAGTATGGTGCTATGGCGGTGGCTGTAATCCTGAAAGCGAGCAGAAGTTGCATTCAGAGCTCTGTGACTGCAGTGTTAAGTTCGTTAGATATGTAAATCGTTTTGTTTTTCAAACAAGCCCATCTAAAACCTGTACTATCACAGTTTTGTGGTCAGACACGCTGCACTGTGGGATCTAGAACAAGTGTCTTTGTTCTCATGGTGCATCCACCATGCAGCCAAGTCAACAAGACCACTTAAATCAGCTTCTTATGAAAGATACAGAGAACTGGAGTTAGAAGTTCACCTGTTTCATAATATGATTCTATCACTTTCTGGGCTGCTTTTCATTATCAAGAGAAAAAACACCAAACACAAGCATGACTTGGAAGCATGAAATACCTTGGATGTGAAATAGTCATGAACCTTTTCTTCAAATCCTTGAGAATCACACTGGCTGGACATCCAAACCCAAACCAGAAATGGCCTCAAGAACCTCACAAGGACCCGGTTCTGTCGTTCACAAAACAATCTGTTGAAAACTCCTTTCCATTATGGTCAATGGTGTGCAGTGATTTGTTCCACAATGAGAATTTGGTTATTTGTTTTGCCTATTGTATATTTGTTACAGCCTTAGATTAATCTGAAGTAAAGCATTTCCCTTCAAGCTAAAACACAAAACAGACACACAAACACATGGATGGGTACAAAGAGGGAACACTTTGTATCAAAACATCAAAAGTGGCCCTAGCTTCTTCCTCTTTTCTGTGCTAATTACCTCTCTTCCAACCCAATCAATAGCATGCAAGGTGATTGTCTGGTTAAAATTCTCCGTACAGCCTCCATCATCCAGCTGCTTGGCTCCCTCTCCCCATCCTCTCTCTGTCTCCGCTCCCTGCACACACATTTCCTCCCGGGGACGTACTGGAAAGGTGTACCGCAGCAGCACACTCAGATACAATCACGACCACTGATCTAATTCCCTCTTGTCCGTCTACACACACATTCAATTTGTTAGGACGCTTAGAGGAGTCTCTGGTGAGGTGTTTGTCTGACTTGATCTCTCTGGCACCGGGCCTTGTGGTTTCACCTAAGGTGAATGTTTGTGTCTGCAAATTCAGTCCATGTCAAGATGTGTTTTTCAGCACGTTAATGCACTGGATGTTCCCCTTTACTTTGGCCTTTCCACATTAAGACAAAGCAGTGTTAGACAGAAGACAACACAAGCAAAGAGACGCAGCCTTGGAAAGATTTTCAGCCATTAGCAACGTGAGCAGCAAATGACACGTCCATCGAAAGTCTGCCTACAATATTAAGTTGCTGGTCAACCCCTTTATTAAAACCTCATCACCGCCATGCCACGTGCCTGTTTCCTGGTCAACCAGCAAGGTGACTTCCCCTCCCTCTGAGAACTATATAGGTCATTCACTTTATGCTTATGAAACCGGAGCAGACAGGCCAGACTGCAATGACTGTGCACCAGGAGCAGCTGCTGAAAATGCAGCACAAGCAACTGAGCCACAGCGACCAAACCATCAAGAAATAAATCCGATTTTTTTAAGCACAGTGATGCATGATGTATAAAGAAAAAAATGGACAGAGGCATGTTTCCACTAGGAGTGAACCAGACCCTGAAGTTCAAGGTCTCACAATGTGAAAAAGTCTGCATAGTTCTCATCAAACGTGGCCAATCACCCTCCACACCTAATCCAACTGTCTGGTGAAGGAAATGCCTCTATTATAAAAAACATTAAAACATGAGGATAATTTCAAAAGTTTTCTATATTTGTGAAAACATAAAACACAGATTACTTAATATTGCTAATATTGCTCCTATTTTTGTTCTTGTTAATATCAAGTATCTCCTAAAATTGTATCACACCTCTTGTTTTGTAAGTTTTGTGAAGATAGGAAGGAGATTAAGAACATTTCTGGAATCCTACCAGAGTTCTCTAAGACTTAACTAACGTTTTGCTGCATTAAGAATCAAAGAGTAAAACTAATTCACATCATATATATATATTATATTCAGCTTATCATTATAATGTGTTAATAATTGCTATTTAGCTTACCACCTTATCATCTTCCCCCAGTTCTTTCCATCCATGTTGCAACTGATATCGATTCATGTCTGAAAGCTGAGACCTGATGGGGAACAATTCCTTCAAACAAGGCCAGAGACAAACTTCTCATTTTAAGTGTATTAAGTCAATAAATCATATGCTTTCAGTCAATAACAGGCTTCATAAACAGATGTATTTGTCTGTGTTATTTTGCTAAATACATTTTCAAACATACACTCCATTATAGGGGGTCATTGGTTCCTATGAGCCCTATAAAAAGCAGTTCTGTTTTTGAGATGGGATTTAGGGTTTGGGAATTGAGTTTAGGTTTAGTTTAGGGTGAAACTAATTAAACAGAGCTGAAGGTGTGCAAGCCTTAAGTGAGGCAACCATGCTGTCTCAGCGCCCAAGCGAGCGCAGGGTCGAGCTGGCTTAAAGATAAGTTATTGGTGCTTATTCTGTGTCTACATATACAAGTAACTGGTATGCTTTCAGGGGTGACCTCATTGACTAAGTTGTAAAAAAAAAAAAAAAACAGTAAAAAAGAGAATTTTGATTTCTGTTTTCATCACTTTCAGAGTAAACCAAGTCTAAAACAACAATGCAGGGTATGTAAATCCATCAGCTTTCATTTAGTAAGGCACATTTATTCAAACCTTTCATTTTAGAGAGATCCCTATGGGCTTACAGAAAGGCTGCATTCTCAGTCTCCATGTCTTTCTCAGTGCAATGGGTGAACATCTATCTTGTGTCTCTAGGCCTGCGTTTATTTCCACAAAAACACCAAATATTCATGATAATTGCTTGCAACACTGTGTGTGGTCATTATGGAAAAGTGACGTTAACTGTTTCTGGACAATACTGCACCTATGGCCGCATCATGTTTAAATTGCTACAGTGCTTCTATGGGCTTGAACAAGTGCGAGCGGATTGGACTCAATGCGTTAGTATAACTCACACCCTAGTTTAGGACTAAAGTGTGAACTGAGTTTAGCCTAAGGTTACTTTTAGATTGAAGAGG